ATTAGTCTATTCCAGTTGCTGTTTCGGTCAAACTTCGCCCCTCAGACCAGCTCAGGTGTGTCCTGTGCTTTCGGCCAGGCGTTGCCATGGAAACGCAGGTCACAGGTGCTGCTGGTTGACCTTTGAGCGGTCTCTGTGGAGCCCAGGCAGTGCGCATGCGCAGCCGCCGTCTCTTTCTCGTGAGCCCTCTCCGCTCCTCCGGTGTGTCGGTGTGTCCGCGGCTCATGGCGGCTGGTCGGGACTCTGCTCTGTACCTGGGCCTGGACTTCAGCACGCAGCAGGTACGGCTCACCTGCACGGCACGCGCTGTCCCCGGTCAGGAAGGGAGCCTACTGCGCAGACGCGGAAGACGGAGGCGGTTGTTTGTTTGGTGCAGAGTTTGAGTACAATGTTTGTTTGTTTGTTTGTTTGTTTGTTTGTTAAAGTCCGTCAGTGTGAGTCACGTGACAGTTTCGGCTGCAGCAGAAGTGATCAGACTTTGAGCCGCGATCGATCGATCAGTGATTCTCTAATCGATCGATCCGCGGATTGATCAGTGATTCTCTGATTGGCGCATTGATCCCTGCAGGAGTCCGGTTCAGGTCAAGCTGTCTGCTGTCCACCTTCAGCATTGATTATCGATCGGTGACATGAGAAAGGATGGTTTGAAGTGTTTGAGTCCCAGAGTGACAGAACAAAAGGATCGATCAGTCACGAGGTCAGCAGCAGATGACTGATCGATCAGTGGACAGGTGTGAGTACAGACAGGAGGCACTTTGGACCAGACTGTTTCTAATAGTTCAAATCCTGTATTTAGATGAAGAAGAACGTTGATGGAACGTTTCTGATCAGCGGTCCCTCTCCTCCATCACCAGCAGCTCATTGAAAGTCACTTATTGATCAGATTTTATAAATATACTTACAGGTTGTTCTGCTGACCCAAACGGCAGGCTGAGCAGTGGTTCTGGTTCGGTGCCGTCACACGTTCTCATCTTGAGGTGTTTCTGCTCTCTGCTGGTCTCACGCTGCTTCTGTTTGTCACGTGCAGCTGAAGGCGGTGGCCATCGATGGAGACCTCAGCGTGGTCCATCAGAGCAGCGTGCAGTTCGACGCCGAGCTGCCCCACTTCAGGTACCGGCACCGCTTTGTATCACGACCACTGAGTGTGGATGTGGGTCTGGCCTCCGGACTCTCGTTTAGCTTCACGTGTGTCTAAAGTATGTTCCTGAATATTTACGTGTTTCACCTGCAAATGCAGAAACATTCGTGTTCAGACGTCGTTACAAACGGCGGTGCGCTGATGTTTTCTGACACATGCAGGCTTTCTGTGTCTAATCTGGCTAAACAAAACCTGAAGCCCTGATCAGAGATAACGAATCAATCACTGATAACGTATCAATCACTGACAACCTATCAATTACAGATAATGTATCAATCACTGATCATGTATCAATCACTGATCATGTATCAATCACTGATCATGTATCAATCACTGATCATGTGTGTCAACCATAAAAATGGGTATAAATCTCAGATAATATGTATTAATCGCAGATAATTCTACTAATCACTGATAATGGGTGTCAACACTAATAATAGATATCAATCACTGATAATGTATCAATCACAGATAATTGTATCAATCACTGATGATGGGTATCAGTTATGGATAATCGGATATTTTCAACTCTTAAACAGAAAAACTATGTTTACGAAAAGTTTCAAATTGGTAATAATTATTTAACTGTCATTTTATTGATCCTCTGTTTTGTTAGATTACAGATAATATCAAGTGAAATCACAGATAAAAAAAAGTTAAATTTTTTTGTTTTGTTTTTTTAACATTAAATTAATTTTTTTAAAATTCCAAACTGTAAATGATGTCCACATCAGAAGCCTGTTTTTACTGACAGCGGTTCATTCTGTCGTCCTGTTTAACTGTATTTCAATCAGTTTTCCTTGTCTTCAGAGTTTCTGCTATTTTACGAGTGTTTTTGTACAGTGTAGCTGTGCTGTGTGCGTTTCCATGGTGATTTATCGGCTTAAAACAGAACGCTGTCATGCTGTTTGTTTGTTTGTTTGTTTGTTTGTTTGTTTGTTTGTTTGTTTTGGCTGCAGGACTCAGGGAGGAGTCCACATCCACGATGACAGGCTGACGGTCACCTCACCTGTGCTGATGTGGGTCCAGGTGAGTCGTGGTGACGCAGGTGCTTCCTGTCGTTCACTCCGTAACTCAGCCGTCATCACGTGACCCAGCTCTGTGCCTCTGATTGGCTGCCGTCTCTTCCTCAGGCTCTCGACCTGCTGTTGGACAAGATGAAGAGGGCGGGGTTTGACTTTGCTCGCGTCCGAGCGCTGTCGGGCAGCGGCCAGGTGAGGCGCCGCTCATTTTATCCATTCATTTAGTTTTTAATTACAACAGATGAAATCAGCAGAACTCGACTCTAATGAGGCTCGGCGTGCGGCGCCTTCATAGACGCTGAGGACCCTTTAAATCCCAACAGGTGCCGAGTCGGACCTGAGGGGTAAAGGTTGCCCCTATCGTCCCCTGATGCGTTAGAAATAATTAACCAGCCCAAAGCTGCTGACTGTGTCGCTGCCAGCATCCTTTAATGGGAATGATCCTTTAAATGCTGTTTCACTGTGACTCAGCCCCAGACGGGTCGTTATGACGTTAACTTCTAATGAAAACAGCCTAAATTCTGGGATTGCAGCTTCTTAAATGTAAATGTTTTGTGGTTTCTTTTCCCCTCGATGACACTAAACTGATTGTCTCTGGAATAAACAGCACATTTCTCATTCTGGCCTCTGACTAATCAACGTTTTTCATCATTTGCTGACATTTTGGAGACCAGACAGTTTATTGTTTATTCTCCAATCATGATCTTTCAGTCCACGTAGTTTTGCTCATATAGAACACATGATATCAAACCTTCATCTGTTCTTACAGACTGAACTTGTGTTTGTACTTTTGGCTTGAAACTACAAACAGTGACGGATTTGAGTAAAATCTGAAGAAAAGTGAATGGAGTTTGGTGGAGTTTTCCCACATTTTGAGTTCATCCAGATGCAGATTTATGCTTTTGTTAATATTTTTCTCTTCAAATGAAGAAGCTTTAACGGTGTTTTAGGTGATTTGTGTGTCACAGAAACAAACCTTTAAAGATTCTGTGCACAACAACTAATCACACAGTTAGTCTCTCTGATTAAAATGTGATGAAAAGTGAATGGAGTCTGGTGGAGGGTCTGCTCTCGCCCTCAGCAACATGGCAGCGTGTTTTGGAGAACCGGAGCTTCTCAGACTCTGGAGCAGCTCGACCCGGATCAGAACCTGCACCGGCTGCTGCAGGTGTGTGCCGCACCGCGTGACATTGGGTGTGTGTGTGTGTGTGTGAGACAGAATGTACCTGCAGACCTGAATGTACTCCTCCACAGGGCAGCTTCTCGGTGTCTGACAGTCCAGTCTGGATGGACTCCAGCACCAGACAGCAGTGTTTGGACCTGGAGGCAGCTGCAGGCGGCGCCGAGAGGCTGGCAGACATCACCGGGTCCAGAGGATACGAGGTCCAGCTGTCTACCATTAACCTGTCCGTCTGTCTGTCGGATCTTTTAAAGGACCTCTAAAGAACTGTCCGTACGTTTGTGTGCAGCGTTTCACAGGAAACCAGATCGCCAAGCTACGTCAGAACCGAGTGGACGACTTCATGGACACCGAGGTCAGA